ATGTGGTTTTCCCCAGCCTCACCTGCTGCTCCCTGTCTGTCAGAAAGCTCGTAATCCACTGCCAGGTGGGGGCAGGCACAGTGAACTGGGTCAGTTTGGAGTGGAGGATGTCTGGGATCATGGTATTGAATGCCGAACTGAAGTCCACAAAGAAGGCCCGTGCGTAGGTCCCTGAGGAGTCGAGGTGTTGCAGGATGTAATGCAGTGCCATGTTGACTGCATCGTCCACTGACCTGTTTGCCCAGTAGGCAAACTGCAGGGGGTCCAATTGAGTTGAGTCTTTGTTAAAACAGAGCAGTGGTGATATCACACCTAGAGTGGTGAGGCTGTTGGATTTGTCTAAACAATTCTCTCTAACTCGTCCTCACGACCAGTTTTCTCTCCTTTTACATAAGTTTTTCACTGAATTGTAGACACATCTGTGCTCTTCCTGACAGTAGAACTGTGGAAGCAAATGGATTCACAGAAGATGTACAATGAGCTGCAGAGTGACACGAGTGTCAACCAACTGTCACACTGACTCCGATGGAAACAGTATTAGGCAGGTGGTCATAATGTTATGCCTGATCGATGTATGTGATGCGTGTCAGAACACCTGCACCCATTATTTTATATGCAAGCCTACACACTGGCAATGAAATAACACACGCCATCACCATTTTTTACTGTTTCAGGATACACTATTGTCCATTTTTCCATCATTGATGTGCATGAAAAGAATGAAATACTGAAATACTACCCATTTTGGTAGTGCATCATATGATGCTATGTGGCATGATGCCAGTATGAATTGCCTTTTAAACGTTATGTCATAGTTAATTTGGTGACACACATGGTTACTGGTTGTAACAGCAGAACTTGATGTATGGTTCTGTGTTAAATCTACGCTGTATCTATGATGTAGGTAACGCGTAGCCTCATACCTCTCCAGAAATGTAACTGCACGTCACAGCGACAAAGACCACAACAACTGTGATTGGCTGCACGGCATTTCCACATTTATGTGTCTCAGTGGCCAGACAAGCACGGAAAAGCCCCGTTTTGCCTCGGTTGGTTCAATGGTCATACAGACCATCTCCTCTGTCATACCTGTGTTGCAGTAAAAGTAGCTGCTTTTCAAGATCTATGAGTTTGGACTCCAGCATGATACACTCAGTTTTAGTTTCTGTTGTTTGTAATTGGTGAAGAAATGCAACACAGTGACATAGAAACCACATGGCCAACTAGCATTTTGGCAGTGTAATTGCAGGGCAAGGCAGATACACCAGTGCACAAGTATAAATGCTCAAAACACTGTAGGCTCTGTGTATGTTCAAAACAAAACCATTAATCAAGCTTAAGGGCATTTTGATAACACAGTCCCCAGAATCCAATTTGAGATGATACGTATCACAGACTGAGGTTTGATGTAATGACAGTCACAAAGATTGTAACTCTTACCATGAGGTCTGCAGTGGAAACCAATGCTACTGGATTCCTGCAGGTTTTGCTTATTGCGATGTATCTGACAAGCTTTATGACTGATAAATGTACCATTTTTTAAAGGCTTACAATGGAAACACTGACACAGGTCCTTCTAAACTCCAACAGAGGAAGAAACCGCTCCAGCAAAGTGAAATATTGCTTTAAAACCAATGTGTGTAACCCTGTTCTGTTATGCAACATCAGCAACTCTGTTCATAAAATAACTGTACCATGTAATGATATTACAGCTCTCCAGGGAGGATCAATATCAACACTACAACCTGGTGCAAGACCAAGAGAAATGAAACACTCACCATGTGCACACTCTCTTTGTATTTCTGACATCAAACTTAAGATTTTATTAAATTTTAAAATATCATGTACAGTAACTTTAGATGTATACAAAAAGACAAACACTATTTGTTGAGCACCAGTACATACTGGTCCAGTACTCATACACAGTCACTCTGACACAGTGAATATCTATGCATACATTATTACCCCCTGGATAATGTGAATCATTTGGTTCCATCAGTTGCAGTGCACTAAAGGGGTTTTTCCATTATAGGAACCTACCGAAATGTGTTGAACTGAGTTACACTTGCTAGGGGCTCTGCGTTAGTTTTTTCTGCCATGCACCTGCTGTCGATGTGAGTTTGGAGAGCTAAAGGTTGGCACCCCTCCGGAGGTATTACTAAAATCAAGTTCCAGGAACATGAGAGGGGAGGGGTGCATGCATGCAGAGCAGTCGCTCATGACTGGTTAAATACCCACTCTTCACACCTCAATCGTTAGCATTACAAGCACTGTGTGTAAAGAAGTACTTATGTCTCTTTCCCACCAAAAATACCGTGTATACATGGGTTTTTTATACCCGGCTAAAGCGGCCTTTAACTGGCTCCGCTTTCCAGTAGACGGGCTTCTTTCCCCTCTGGCAAGTCATATTTGACGTCATCACATTGGTGATGTCAAACAGAGTTGTAAGCAAAACAGCATGGAAGCTAGTGACACGATCAGTGTTATTTCTTCATATTTACTTTTGTTCATCTTCCAGAGTATAGAAATTCAGCGTAGACTGAACCATGTTAGAGCCTTGATTGAACAAAGACTGATGGAATTTATGGCTGAGATGGCAAAGAATCGCCAAAATTATCATTGGAGGAGACAAGCCTTCATTACCTCCTTGTTGGCAGTTTCTGAAATGATCAAATCAAATCAATTTTATTTACAGTATATAGCACTTTAAAAACAACATCCAGTTGACCAAAGTACTTTACATAGGCAGAATAAAATCACAATAAATAACAAATAAAATAAATAGGTTCAGTGTAAAAATGAAACACAATAGCTCAGACACACAGATGACACACATTCAATAAATTAAATTAAAATCCATCAGGCCCTACTGTGTATTAAAAGCCAAGGCAAATAAATATGTTTTAAGCAAAGATTTAAAAGTAGTCAGGTCAGTAGTTGATTTAACATTCAAAGGTGGACTATTCCACAATTTAGGGGCTGCAACTGTAAAAGCATGGTCACCCCAGCATTTATATCTGGCCCTAGGAACCTCTAAAAGAAAGTGGCTTGAAGATCTGAGGGACCTTGTAGGTTTGTGCCAATGCACAATGTTTAGAGGCAAAACAAGATCTTTGACTATTTGTTTTGGAGGTAAAATGGGGACGTCAGTGAGTGGACCACAGGCAAAGCTGTGAAGATGTCACATTTCTGCAAGTCTGTGATCTGCTTTTACAGCAGCTCTTTGATAAACTGCTCATACAGTTTCCCTTGTAAGCTGATTGTTGCACTATGCAGTGAGGTTTGTTCTCCATCTGCTCAGCTGAGTGAGGTTCTCTAAACAGATCCTTACACACAGAGAAAATACAGTGGAAAAATAAAGCAGGAAGGTCCACGTCAACCGAGGAGGTTATGCTGGGCGAAGTAGGGGTATACTGCTCATTAGGTTCTGATAGTACAAATGCAGCATAGCAGTGTCTCCACTCCAAACAAGAGGCTGAGAGCAGGTTAACAGCTAGGTACAGCCCAACTTAGAGTGAATGCAAATAATTTGCAAATGTAAACAACAGCCCCCGTCACACACACACACACACACACACACACACACACACACACACACACTGGCACACATACACAGGAGAGTATGTGATACTTTGTTCAGAATTGATATGATAATATACAAATATTTATCATATCAATTCTGAACTCCTTCCTTCCGGTTGTCATTCATGTTACACACCTAGATTTAGTGAGTGTATTTATGAGGTGTAAGATCTGAGTGTTTCTTTTGATAAATGCTTGGTACAGGTCAATGAGTTAACTGGCTTTTTTTTTTTTCAATTTGGTACACACTGTGAACGCAATAAATACTGCTGAAATACTTCAATAAAATTATTATTTCTATTATCCATCCATCCATATTCTAAACCGCTTAGTCCCAAACAGGGTCACAGGTATTTCTATTATTTTTAGCACAATTTTGTGCCTGTTTTATATAGTGTCAGTGAAAAGATAATAGGAAATGGATCATGGATTTTGTGTTCCAAACTATAGTTGCAAGAAAAAGAAATGGCATTGGTTGCACTTTCCTGATTTTCTGCATAAAGGTTGTGAAATGTGATCTGATCTTCACCAAAGTCACAAATATCAACAAACACAACATTTCTAAGCTGATAAAACACAAGCAGCCATGATCTTTTATGTCTTTATTGAGCACAGCCAATAAACATACAAAGTGATGGTGGAAAAGGTAATGGCAACACTAGGCTTCTGATGTCACTAAATGTCAACTGGAGCCGGCTCTGAGCAAACCTGGGGTCCAATCAATGAAATGAGAGTGGAGGTGTGGGCTGTTCACAAGCAGCATCAACTGATGCTGCGAGCCAGGCCTCACAAAAAAAGAGATCTCAGACGACCTACGATCAAGAGTTGTTGATTTGCATGTAGCTGGAAAGTGTTACAGTCATCTCAAAGACTTTAGATACTCATCAGTCCACAGTTAAACATAATGTGTACACATGGAAACAATTTAGTACTGTGGCTACTCTCCATAGAAGTGGGCACGCAGCCAGAATCACTCCAAAAGCACAATACAGAACACTTGAAGGATTCACTGGAGTTGGTTAACAGAGATGTTAACCAACTCCAACTATGCAAATTATTGAACAGGCATGGTATCCATGGCAGGACACTGTGGAGGAAGCCAATGCTCTCCAAAATCAACATTGCAGCATGCCTGACATTTACCAAAGACCACCTTGACACTCCACAATGCTACTGGGAAAATGTCCTGTGGACAGATGAAACATTTTAAACATTTTCTTTTCTTGCTCTGTGACACACACTCTCTCTCTCTTCCCCTCTCTATCCTATAAAACAAACTCATTTATTCTGTCTTAGCCACACTTGAAACAGTCTGCCATTTATAATTCATTTTATGTACATATAGTGCTTACTTTACTTGGACTAGCCATATTAACCCCACCTATCCACAACCACACACATATACACACACACACATCCTCCTGCATACATTTCATTTTGAGATCAAGGGGAATTATTTGTGGAAAATTAGAGACTTGCATTAAGCATACAGCTGCTGTATTATCTCTGAGGTGCTAATGAACCCAGATGCATTGGAAAGGAATGTAGGTTCTCCTCCTGCAAGAGTAAAATAAGTATGGTTAAGCATTAGCTAAGAGGGGCGATATTTAGACCAAAAGATCTGCCTACGAATGAATTCATAATAAGGCAATGCAAAATGAAAAGTTAAATGCCTAAAGAGCAAAATGCTTAAATTAGGTCTTTTCAGGCGAGGGGTGATTCCCCTGAGGACCGGCAATGAAGACTATTTAATTTTTATTTTATTTTATTTTATTTTATTGCACCCTGGGGCCCCTTTGCTCTCCTTTGAAATGTTGTGAGTGGATAAAACAGTATTGCTGTTGGTAACATCTTCATAAGAGTGGTAAACAATAATAGGTTGGAGCCGGGGGGGTCTTAGGCCGCCATGCTTAAACTCTGTGATTTCACTGTGCAAACTGCAACGTTTGTATGTTTCTGTTTGGCTCACTCTGTGATTAGAAAGGTAATTGAGATGATCAAGCTCTGGCTCTACACGGCTGTGTTGGCACAAGGGAGGACCTTAATTCTCGTGATTTATATTCAAATTGAGAAGTAACTATGAAAAACATTAGGAACTATTACAGGTGGAGCAGTAAAGTTCAACTATCCCCAGAGACTTTATTGATTGATTGATCATTATTTCAATTTTTCAATAAAATAAATGCAAATAAAAAAAACTAATAACAAGAATGTGCTGGAGTGTTTACAAAGCTTCAAAATCAATGTCAGAAGAAGCAATTACTGCAGTGACTGTAAAGGTGTGGACTGAAACTCTAGCTTATTACATCTCCCCTTCCCACAGTCTGGACTGTGACTGTAGTATTTGTAGTATTTGTAGTAGTGCACGTAGAAATGCCCAGCCCACATGGACACCAAAAATAGTTGAAGCACTGGAAAAAAACAACATAACTTCTTGCATATAACATTACATTGCAAGCTTTGTACTCTGTGCCAGTCACTACAAGTATAATCTGCCACATCCTGAAACACAGTTTGTGTTCTTTATAATCATGCATTCAGAAGAAGTGAGCAGAAATGAAAGGGATTTAAGTAAAACGTCCAGTCCTTAAATAACTGCATTAAAAAGCAACAACGTTAAAGGGACTTTCTTTACCCTGGTTCTTTTTTGACACATAATAAAGCAAGCCTTTCCTGTTAATAGATAGAATTAAACCTGTCTGTTTTTATAACTAATGGTCTTGTACCTGAATGTGCCAGTGTACAGAGAAACTTATCACTTTTGGCTTAATTCTACTTCTCTTATGGGTTTATACTGGAGTTTTTGTTTGTTTGTTTTGTTTTGTAAATGACATGTATGTTACAGCCCTTAGAAAGGGTCTTGTTATGTACTGAAACTGTAGGCTGTTAACAGATATTAACAGACCAGGCATAATTTCCGAGGTTTACTGCACTCTAATACAAAACAAATGTCACATGGTGTATATCTTTGCGGCTAAAGATGTGTCTAGTGAGCTGCTGTTCAGGCAGATTTACAAATCTGTTCCATAGCCAGACATTCTCACTTATGTGTCATTGTGTGACATTTTGATGTTCCCATCCTACATCACTGATAATGGCCAAAACTGATGTGAACACATGAACTACATATTTGTTTATGAAAGTATCATTTTACTACACAAAAGCAGCTTCAGTACACTGGCCCACA